AAAAAAAAAGATGGAAATTGCTTTCCCACCTAATAGGTGGGAAAACAAATTCAAAAAAATGTGCATAAAATGGTTGTACCTAGAAAAGGTAGGAAAAACAAAAATCAAGAAAACTTTTGCAATCAAACACCATTAATTGGGTGAAGTTCGAAAACATTTTCTTTTTCCACCTAATTTTCTAGGCTATCAAACACACCCTAAGATATTTTTGTTCAGTCACTAGCCAAAAGTTGTTCGAACTCTACCAGGTTCATTTAGTGGATAGAGTGTGAAGACGTGTGGGTCATGGTCTGACTTGAAATTGATATTATGCACCTTTTTGGGCAAGTATTGTTATTAATAATAATCTTCTCTAATGTCCCGTCTGATTCACCCAAATTTTTGATGAAAAATAGAAAAGAAATTTCAACTTCTACTTTTATCTTGTTTGATACACTTTTTTTTTCCATGGAATTCATTTTCTTGGTTTGGCTCGCACGATCACCTTTTCCTTGGTTTTTTTGGAGGAAATTGATTTTCCAACGTTTTTTTTTGGCAATTGGAAAAGATTCTAGACATAATGGTAAAAAAAAAAATTATCACTTTTATTGACAATTTCCATACAAAATAAAGCCAAACGAATGGTATTCAATATAGTATTTTTTTGACAATTAGAATAAATTCTAGACCCAATGGTAAAAAAAATATCAATTTAATGGGGAATTTCCATGAAAAAATGAAGACAATCAGACACTGAATTATCAACATTTTTCAGATGAAAAACTATATCAATCAAACACAATTAATTACAATTCTGAGTAAAACAAATTTTAAGTAATTCAATTCCATGTAATTCATTTTCTTTCCACCCAAATTCTACATTTACAATCAAACGAACCCTAAGAATTTTTTAAATTGTCTAATATTCTTAACATGAACCTTTATATGTAGATTAGATTCTTTTTTATGAATATTTGACATGTAAAATTCTATAATTTTCTTGTTGTCTAAGCGTGTAGATAATACTGTTCGATAACATTTTAAAAACAAAAGTTTGTGTTCAAGTTATATATTTTCCATTTTCCGAACTTGTGTCTCAAAAACTGGTCAAATGAAGGTCAACTCCAAAATTTTTGATCAACTAATAAACTTTTGGATAAAAATCGTTCAAAGGACATAGAGCAGTTGCATATTTATTTAAATGTTTGGGACTTTGGAAGCAAAAATTAAAGGTTTATTACCCATGTCAGTTTCTTGGAAAGTTTTGAGACACCGTCACACGATTTGGGGGTGAGAAAATAGTTTTTGTTTTTAAACTGTCCAATAGTGTTTTATCATGTAGCACAATGTAAAAGATGATCTATATGGTATGATTGTTAGTATTATATATCAAAATCCACTAGAATCACGCTTGATTGCGAGGATTAGATTGGAGAAAGTGTTGAGAGAAAAAAAAAAAAATCATTACACAATCCACTATTTTCAGTATTCTGCACGAACTTTACTCCTCAGATAAAATATTTATTCTCCATGCCATATTCCTCGACCAAGACTTGATAAATGTTGCAAAACTTGATATTTCTAAGTTTTGGAAATGCAACAGTAATTCCTTGACCAAGACTTCTAGTGACTGGAAAGTTTCACTAATAAATTATTCAATATTTAAAATCTTTGTGAAGTAATTTTATATAATCGAGCCAAAGTTAGGATCTGTTTAGTAGGATTTTAACTTTTCCTTCTTGTAGAAAAATTTCATGAAGAGACCGACTTTTAAAGCAACGTCTTAATTTTATAAGCAACTTTTGAATTTTTAAAAATTCCATCAAATGGGCCCTTAATATGTTTTGGAAATGTAATATAGATTTGTTGACCAAGACTCCTGCCAATTTTGAATGGTTCAAACACAATCATTAATTATTGCATAGGATTAATTTCAAACAAATTTATCATTTTTTCTACAAGCCAACCCAACCACTCCGTCTCTGTACCCCTAAACATGGGCTCCTTCAAATCAAACTCCATCTCCATTTTTTGTCTTGCTTCTCTTTTCTTACGCTATACTAGTGCAGCTACATTTGAAATCAGTAACAATTGTCCCTTCACAGTATGGGCCGTTGCTATACCTGGTGGCGGCATGCAGCTTGACAACGGCCAAGCTTGGGCCATCTTCCCTGGTGCAGGCACTATACAGGGCCGAATTTGGGCTCGAACAGGTTGCATCTTCGACAGCTCCGGCAAAGGTGAATGTCAAACGGGAGATTGCAATGGGCTACTCCAGTGTCAAGACTATGGTGGTGCACCACCTAACACCCTAGCTGAATATGCCCTCAACCAACCCAATAACTTGGATTACTTCGATATATCCCTTGTTGACGGGTTTAACGTGCCGATGGAATTTAGCCCCATCTCCAATGGGTGCACTCGTGGAATCCGTTGCACTGGTGACATCAATGGCCAGTGTCCAAATGAGTTGAAGGCACCCGGTGGCTGTAACAACCCATGCACGGTATTCAAGACAGACGTGTACTGTTGCGACTCTGGCAACTGTGGCCCCACGGACTATTCTAAGTTTTTCAAGGACAGGTGCCCTGATGCGTATAGTTACCCTAAAGATGATGCAACTAGCACATTTACTTGCCCTGGCGGAACTAATTATCGAGTGGTCTTTTGCCCTTGAAGCAACGACATTTTCACCGTAATAAAATTACTATACAAGAATTCAACTTGGCTGCCATCCAGTGCAAATGCTGTATGATTTTTACTTATTTATTTTCTTTTATGAACTAGGATCTCTCTCTTCCATAACATCTTTCGTGTTTGGAAAAGGAATAATGATTCAGTTATCATCTAATATTTCGTGGTGAATTGGAAAAAGACTTTTACACTCAAAATAGTAGTCAATTTCTTTAAATCTTTGATTTGAATATTTTAATGAGGAGAGATTTTTTGGCAAGGTCTTTACAAGTAGAGAAAGAAATATATTGCATCATATTTCTAGATATTTTGGATTCATCAGAGTTCATCAATTCCTCAAGAAAAGGGAAAAAGTTAGGCTAGCTTTAATCACGGGCTTAATGGAATGGAATTTTGTGTCTCACTTGAAAATCTGAAATTTTCTTCTTGACTAGTAATTTAATTTCTAATTGACTAAAGCCACATCATTGGTCTCGGTCACATATTTTAATTATCACTAAACTCTTACAGACGTTTTCCAATTGCCGTTAACCTTTTAAAGTTCTATGACTTACAATTCAACTTTTCTAAATGTTTCTCGATTACCTTTGAATTTGAAAAGTTCTCCACGTTGTCACTAAACTTATTAAAATATTATTTTACCAGTCGCTCTAGTTATAAAAGTAAACGAACTTTATGAACTTACAAAATGTTAGTTCGTCTATTGTTCTGACTACCGTGTCATTTAGTCAATTAATTTTCAAAATGCCGAGTGACAAATGGAATATTATTTAGGTAAGTTCACTGGTAGTCGGGAGGACTTTTAAAGTTCAATGACAACTGAAAAGTAGAGTGAATTGCCTATTTAGTCATTGAACTTTCAGTCATGCACGCAAGGGGTCATTGAACTTTCAAAATAACGCAACTAGTCACTGAATTTTACAATTCATCATCCTAGAAGTCACTGAGCAAACGGCCATTGATAAATTTGATAGAATTTCCACGTGACAACTCACCTGTGTACATCAATTTGTGACATATTAGCACTTCACAGTCATTTGTGAACATTTATATTTAATCTTTGGTATTGGTAATTCATATGTGACCTCCAATTAATATCATGTGACATATGAAGCAAAGTATGTGATTTGATATTGTAATGTGTGACCAATTCAGTATATTGTCATGTACAGATAGGGAACTATGCAACCTATGAGCTGTGCATAATAAACCGTGACTTGTGTAGTATACTCTGTGACCTAATGACTGCAATATGTGACCACTACATTGTACTCTGTGACCTGTGTATAATAAACAAAGGTGCATAATCTGTAACTTATAAACATGAATCAGTTGTATGTGTATGTTCAAAACTGAGTAGCATAACCTGTATGTGTGTGTGTGCGCATGTGCGTGTGTGTAGGATAACATGTGATATGAGAAGTGTAATATGTGTCATGTATAGTATAATTTGTGACCAACATATTATAATATGTGACATGTGCAGATAAACTTTGCAATTGTACCAGAAACCTATTACATTTATCAAGTGCAAATGAAACATGACACCAGAGTAATTTAACATTTCAAACTTCTGCTCAAATGATAAAAAAAAAAAATAAGTTTTCAACATCACAATATACAACCACAGATTCATATTCATTACAATTAGTTCCATCGCGCACAACATTAAAAATGACAAATAAAATGAGGGTAGTATTTATAAACTTTAAAAATTATTTCATCATCTTGATTTTCAAATATATTTTCAACTATCACTCTATAACAATTTATTCTTCATTCGTAGGCTTTCCCCACTTTATATGCTTTTTGATCTCCCGATATTTATAGAGCAGTATGGCTATATCCAGCCTAATCTTGCACATCAAATTTCTTCGGTATGGACTCTCTATTGTAATGGAGCATGTATTCAACGTATTTAATCACGAATATACCGCAATCGTGGCTGAAGAACAACACAAAAAAATTAATTAGGAATGCAACTTATTTAACTGGTGTACACTTCGAAATATTGGTTATAAACTTACTTATTCTTTTGCTACGGAAGGCTACTATCAATCATTACCCTCAAGTCCATGAAATCAGATTTGTTGAACCGCAATTTCATGGCATTCCAGAAAGTGTGCAAAGCATGTTCCCATGAGTATATGTCGTTGTCACTTAGATATAGTTTGAGGTTTATCAGAACATCCTTTGTTATGGTATGGTAATTTTTACAAGAAACCAATTGTTATGTGGTATGTTAAAGTTCCACACTTCCATCACTTGTTTAAATGAAAACAAATGTTAAAATTAAATTTGAAATGTTACAATAAACAAGGTCACAGATACAAATAATGATAGACAAGACTATAAATCAGGTCACACAATATTTTTCAATCAAGTCACATATTGGAAATGTAAACTAAATCAGGTCACGGACATATAGAACCTTATATAATCGGGTAAATTAAATCACAGATACAAGAAAACTAAATCAGGTCACATATACAAATAATGGTATATAATCATGTAAATAAGGTTACAAATGCAGAGAATGGTATGCATTCAAGACACAAATCCATAAAAACCTTGGTCAAAATCGGATTGATTGGTCACTTAAGGCCTATTGTATGTCACAAATCTTTCATAATAAAAAATATCAAATTTTATAAAACAACACTTTCAAATGGAAATCCTCACCCATTTCCTTGGCTGCTAAAACTGAATCGAATAAAAGTAATAAATGTCCAATACATTTGTAATACTTGTTACTCATCAATTTTGGACTACATACATATAACTCAAATGAACAAAAAAAATGAAAAAAAATTGAAAGCACCTTATTCGTGGATTTTTTTTTTTTTTGCCTAACCCAGATGAATTTTGTCTATTTGATGGAATTTCTTATCGTTTGGCTCTTTTTTTCTTACTTCTTCTATCTGGTGTCTCCTCTATCTTCTTTCCTCTATTCACAACCTTTAATTTAGTCATTATACTTAGGTTTCAGAATCTACAGTTTTCATAAAGTAAATAAAATACATTTATATAGTAAGAAGCTAATATACGATTGAAGTCATCGGAAGTTGGAGATTTAGGAATGTCGAATGTAGAAGAATCTTGGAGTCGTGGAGGATATGGAGGTTATGTGTGAGAAGAATAAGCGTACGTGATCCATTAATGAAAATATTTAATATTTAATTAATATATTAAATACTTGAAAAGTGAACACATAAACTTTATCTCTAATTTATGAAGTGTAATCTTCAAACACATGTTGCTGTGTAAATCCCACTTATAAATTTTTCAACTTTTAGGTCTATAGATTGAAAGGCCCAAAAAGTTGCTTAGCCACTTATTGGTCCACTAATTTATAGAGGGCATTTCCAAAGATTTTGTTGTAAACTTCGACGTGGAATAAAAATTTATTTGGTTTGGTTGTAGTACATTGTACATTTTATTTGATTTGATGTATTTACGTTCCTTTAGTTTGACTCTAGTGTATAAATAGTTAGTTATATTTTATTAAGTTAATTAATCTATTTTTTTTCTATCTTTTACTAATTAATAAAAATTAAAAACTCTTCAAATATTTCAATTAGCACTATTATAAGGGAGAATGTATTTTGGAATAGTAGATTGATAGCAAAATTTGTGGTTAAAAATGAAGGAAAAGTTTTCATGTTGTTCATTAGATTTCGCAACTGTACGGATCATGACAAGTAATAAAGTGGATTTATCAAATCTAAATATTGTCTCACAGAAACTACTATCTACTATAAAGTTTTAAACTAACATAACTTCAATTTAAATTAAAATAGTAACTAATGATCAAATCAAATTTTGTTTTCTAAACGAAATTCTAATAAATTAAATGACAAATTATTAAATAAACTAACCAACTCAAATTAAAACTATAGATAAGATTATGT